TTGTTAAATAATCTTCATAACAATATAATCACTTACTAAAAAATCAAAATAAAAGATTTACAATTTTTAATTTGAAAATTAAAAAAATATTCTTGTTTTCACATACTATATGTGTATTCACCATTATCTTAAATTGGAAAGGCGATATTTTATTTTTATTGAAATTAACTATTTGAACCAAATTTTCTATCTCTCATAAAATTGGAAATAAAAAAGAATCGGTCTCAATAATAATTCAAATATATTATACTATTTAGAATAAAATTAATTTTTTTTAAAATTTTAAAAGAAAATTGTATTCAATTATTTTAAAAAATCTTATGTAGAAGAAAATTAAACCAAGGTATAGAATATTTGCCAACTTTATCAATAGAAAATTAGACAAGAATTTAAGATACAAAACAATTTATTTTTCACATAATAATAATTTGAAACGTTGGTAATTTTAGATTCCTAAGCTATTTAATTTTTTATTTCCATCTTTTTAAAGCCTTAACCTCAAATAATTACGATTGAGAGAAATATCAGTCAAATTACAAATTTATCTTTGCATAATTTACATTTTGATTTATTTTTCTGATGTTATTATGAATCTCAAACTTCTTGCAAACTCTTCTTTCTCTATATCTGTCACCAGTTATTCACTCAATTAATTTGTTTTATTGTAAAATGCTGCTCCTCTTATATTATTATATTAGAGATATCATTTATCTAATAATAGAATATATATTGTTAATATATTATGGAAAATGATAAATTTATTTAGAATAACTTTCTGGACATATGATAATATATTATTATCTTAATTAAAATTATCACTTCCTGCGAATGCTATATTATAACTTTGCCTCAACTAATTGTTTAGAAGTAAGTCCTGATTTAGAAAAAAGACTAATTCATCTTGTTGGTTAAACTAATATATTTAAAAAAATAAACGAAATTAAATTTTAGGTTTGATCTTACTTTTATGAGATCTATAACTAAACTTAATCTTAATCATTGTTAAGATTATAGAATAAATAAAAGATTGAAGTTTGTTATAATATTATTATACTTGGAAAATAATTATATTTCTAATTTTTTCTTTATAAAATTATTTATTGTCAAGGGCATTTTAAAATATATTATACTCATAGAAAGGAATTAATTTTAATTCTGATGAAAAAGATATAATATAGTAAATAAATACTTATTTCTAATTAGCTTTCAAATAAAATAGTAATTATTTAGAAAAATGCAGATTCATAAGAAAAAAAATAATTGAGTAAAGAGAATTCATCCATTATTTTAATTTCTTCTCTTTTACTTTGTTTTTTTAGTTTAAAAGAGTTTATCCTATTCAATATCTTATTGAAAAAATTCTAATGAATTAATTTGACTTAATATAATTTATATTTTTATAGGCATAGTAGCTTATATAATCAACATAATTAGTTAAAAAAGTCTATTCAAAAATGCAGTCATTTTTATTTATTTACTGTGAATTATTTATCAAAAATAAAGATTTATATTATTAATTTTTTGACCAATTCATCGCAATAATTATATTAATTTTATTTATCTGATTAAATCACTTTAAATTATTTTAATAAAAATATATTCATTAATTATATACAGCTTTCCATTTTGATCAGTTATTTATTGCAGAATTCAGAATTTATTTATTTGTACAATCTTGAGATAGTTTATATTATGAATAGAAATACTTTCCAGTTATAAAAGAGGATAAGATATTAAATAAATAAAAATAAAATAAATTTTAGAATCTACATCAATTTCGATTCATTATAGTATTTTGATCTTCAATTTTTAATGGAAAAATTTAATTAAATATTTTGGATTAATCATTTTGTTATTCAACTTTTATAACATATATATTAAATTATGAATTATAATAATTAGATTAGAGTTTATGAAAAGGTATAGAATAAGGTGAATAATAACAATTTCAAGACGATAGAATTGGTTTATAATATATATGAAAATTAGAGATGATTTGATGGAGTATTGAAAAAACAGAATAATCAAAAATTGGTTAAAGAATGAATCAAAAATTAATATTAATGAAATTGCTTTTAGAAATACTTATAATTTCTTCATCAATTTGCTAATACTAGAAAATATTCCTATCACTTTGATCACTAAGAGATAGTACAGTAGCTTCCTATTTCATCAAAAAATAATTAATCTCATATCAACTTGATTATTAGATATGTTCGATGGGAAGGAATCCAAATTTAGAAAAAATCATGCTTTTATGCCTTGCTCATTTGGAAGACATTTTTATTTTAATATATTTTTTGTTATTTTAAAAATATAAAATTATCGGTACCTTAAAAAAAAAATATTAATCAATTTTACTCCATTATTTATGCAAAATTTAAATCTAAAATAATTAAAAAAATGGAGCATTCACTTTAAAGATTTTTATAAGTTAATTAATGAATAAAAGAACTACTTTTCATTTAAATTATCTTACTTATTTGATTTTCATGGATAAAATTTTTCCAAATTAATAATTAGGACAATGAGGCTTCTTTATATCTGTTAATGGTTGGCATCTTTTAATGCTTTAAGGAATTCTAGATTTAATTCTTAAATGTAGTTAAACCAGGTTTTATAGGATTAATTATCCACTAATGCATTGACGTGGATAAAGTTTATAAATAAGAAGTTTAATCAACTTAATCCTTTCTTTTTATTGATTATTTTTTATTCTTTAATATTCTTATTCCTAATTGTTGTGAAAATTTTTTTATACTTAAACAAAGCTTATTAATAAAATAAAGCCATCTGATGATAATAATGATGTGATAAATTGAATTCAAATGAAGGATGAATTTAATAAATAAATTTATATGGAAATAAGATATTTTTCAATTAATTCTAAACATTAGTTGTTCAAGTTGATTTAGAAATAGTGATAGTGATTTTTTTATTTAGTGAAGCATAATTAATTTAATATTCTTTAATCTTTGAATTTTGAATTATTCGACATTTAGTATATATCTAAACTATATCAGATTTCATAATTCATTGATTCATTCTTATTATATGAAAATAAAATAAATACATACATAATACATAAATTAATTCATATACATTTTTAATAATGAGTGTTTCCATAATTTTCATCATAGTTACCTTAATTGATACTTCGAATACTTAATGGACATCCCGATACTCTAATTTATATAGAGATGTAAAGTTTACTGAATTAAATTCAGCGGATTACTTAATATTTTAGGATAAATCAGCAAATTTTATAACTTGCACCACACCACCAATAAGCTATTTTACTCTCAATAGTACATATCCATCAGCTTACGATTATATAGCATCTTATAATAATAATACATTTTTTTCAGTGGATTTATATTTTCAAGGTACATGGACATCTCAAATTGTTAATATTACGGTATACTAATTTTCATACCTATATAATTACACTTCCCCTACAAATTACTCTATGCAAACTGGATTTTGTGATGACATTGCTTATGAAGTTAGAACCATTAATTTTCTAATTCAACAAAATATAACTCAAGATTATCTCAACTTTAAATCATTAAATACAAATGATGGATAAGTTTCAATTAGAAATATTTATATTTCATAACTTGTATGTTACCCATCATGTAAATAATGCACCGGGCCAAAATCAAATCAATGTACAAGCTGTTATTATGGATTACCTACAAACAATATTTGTCCACCTTGTCCATCAAATTAATATTATGAGAAATTTTTTGGATGTAGAGATATTTGTAGTATATATAGTCCATTATACTCTAATGGATTTTGTTAATCCTTTCCAAGTATTTAATTTTAAAATATCATAGGTTATTCATAGAGTTTTATTAGTGAGTATAATACTTAATTTTTGTTTAATATATATGACCCTTTATATGTAGATACATCTCCAAATTTAATTAGTTATTATTATAATATTTACGGAGTTTTCAAGTTTAATTCTGGTATCTCTAGATTTATTTAAACTTTATTCGCCTATTCCAATTCTTTATACTAATGTGGATTTAATATTAGAATAACAACTTTTAATGATATTCCACTTGATTGTGGTATTTAGTTTTTGATTAATAATACTTATATTGGCTCAATTTATAGAAATGGCTCAGGGATTTAAACACATAAAATGAAAATTTATTCAATTACAAGCTAGAGCACATATTTAAATTATACTTTAAATAAGTATTACTCTTTAATTACATACGTTGACCTTCCTAAATCTCCTTTTATTTTTTCAGCAAAAGGAAATTATTCGTAATAGATTAATTTTATTAAATTAGTGATAACACTGCTGGTTGGGGATTTTCATATCTCACAATTACTTCAGGATATTGCCCTATATACTGTGAATTTTGTGAGGTATCATTTAAATGTAAAACTTGTTAAAGAGGATATTATTTGTATATGGATAATACATGCATTGGAAGTTGTTCACAACCATATTAAAAATTAAATGGTTCTTATTGTTTAAATTTTTAAAAAGAAACACCTTGTATCACTTTTTTTATAAATTTAGACTCTGAATATTTAAGTGAAGACTTTATAAATTTTGCACATGATCCTGAATAATATCAAGAATATAAACTTATCTCTTAAAATGGAACAAATTTTTTAAAAGGATTAGATATATTTTATTCAAATTTATATTGGGCTAATCTCCTTTAAAAAAGAATTTTTGGAGGTCCTCTTATCTGGGCTCAAGCTAAATTTTAAAGAACTCATAATGTAGATGACCCACATCATAGTATCACTATAGCATTCTATATCCTTTTTGGACCAGAATTTCCTTCAGATGGCTAGTTTATATATACAATTGAAAATAATCCATCTGTCTCTTTATCAACATAAAATTTTAATAATTCATATTCTAATGGAGTAAAATGGGGTAAAGTATATGAAAGAATAAATCATAATACAAGTACATTAATAATAAATTGGGAATGCTTTGGACCTAATAATGAACCAGTTAAAGCTTATTGCGGGTTTTACAATTATTATATAGTTGTTCACAAATGCTAACCTTACTGTTTAGAATGCTCAAATGAAACTACATGCTTATAATGGAACAGTGATTATGATGAAAATATTGTTAAATTCTCATAAGAAGAGTGTTAAAATAATTATTATTTTGATAAAGATTCCTATAGATGTTTGAATTGTCCATAATCTTGTTTAACATGTACATCTAAAATAGATTGTTAAACATGCTAATCTACTTATATTTAAACTAAATTAGGTTGTGTTTGCAAATTGAATCAATATGAAGATTCAAATCAATGTTTTGATTGCCCTATTGAATGTAACTAATGCTTAAGTTCAACTAATTGTATAGAGTGTTTAATTACAAATAATAGACAACTAAAAAATCAATAATGTGTTTGTATTGATGGATACTATCCAGTTTAATCGAATCCTTAATGTAAAAAATGTCATTTATTTTGTAAAACTTGCAAAGGACCAACTTCTGATGATTGCTTAACTTGCAATAATATTGTTAATATTGAAAATGTTGGAACAATATGTAGATGCTAACCAGGATCATTTTATTAGGCATAAATTAATTCATGCTCATAATGCCATTCATCTTGTAAAACCTGTTTTCAAGGTACAGACAATAGCTGTATAACATGTGATAGTACTTTAAATAGAATATTAAAAGGATTAAAATGTTCATGTGCACCTGGTTATCATGAATTAAATAGTATGTGTACTAGTATTTAAATAATTATTAATTTTAGATTGCCCAGACTTAGAAGATGTTTTGTTACCATCATGTTACAAATTGTGTATTAATAATCAATATTTATGGCATACAAATGTATGTAATTCTTGCAACACTGGATTTGAATTAATTTCTGGAGAATGTCAACCTATTTGTGGAGATTTATAAATATTGGGTTATGAATAATGCGAAGATAATAATACTATTCTAGACGATTTATGTTATAATTGTTAATTTTAATGCCCCATCCATTGTTTAACTTGTGATGAATCAACCCATATACCATGTCCTGATGTTTGTGGAGATGGCTTGATCACTGGAATGGAGGAATGTGAAGATGGTAACAATATTGAATATGATGGATGTTTTGATTGTAAATATTAATGTTAACCTCAATGTACAAAATGCATTAAAGGAGAGTGTTTTGAATGTAATACTGGTGGGTGGTAAGTTGATACAGCAGTTCAACCGTGGATTTGTTAAGAAAGATGCGGAGATTAGATAGTAGTTGGATCAGAATAATGTGATGATGGTAATACATCTGATACAGATGGATGCAAAGATTGTAAATATTTCTGTAGAATTGGATGTTCTTCTTGTGATTATACGACTAATACTTGTTTAAGTTGTGAATTGCCTGGATTTGTTCCAGAGAAGTATTATTGTAGAAATATTTGTGGAGATGGATTAATTGTAACAGATCCATATGGGTTCTATTCAGAATAATGTGAAGATGCAAATAAAGTCAATAATGATGGATGCAATAATTAATGTAAATTTTAATGTTAACCATCATCAATATGCAAGAGTTGTATTGATAATAGATGTGAAGAATGTGCCTAAGGATATCTGCTATCTAATTAAAAAATATGTATTTCAATTTGTGGAGATTAAATAAAAGTGCCGGATGAATAATGTGAGGATGGATTAATATTACCCTATAAAGGCTGTTAAAATTGCAAGGCAAAATGTTAATCCTCTTGCATTAATTGTGATAATAAGGGTCTGGGTTGCTTGGATTGTAAAACAGGTTACTAAACAATTGATAATTAATGTTATTCAATTTGTGGAGACTAAATAATAACTGAGGATGAAGAGTGTGATGATGGGAACCTAATATTTGGAGATGGTTGTCATTAATGTTCTTTTAGTTGCCCTATTTCATGTTCAAATTGTTATAAGGGTGTTTGTCATGATTGTCAAGAAGGTTATTAGTTTTTTAAGTATGCCTGCTTTGAAATTTATGATTCATATCGTGATCCAAGATGTAATTCTGAATGTTTGAACTGTAGTAAACCATCTTCTTTGTTCAATGATAATACAAGCTAGGGTTGTTAAGTATGTAAAAATGGATTTTTAAATATTAAAAATACATGCTATCCTATTTGTGGAGATAAATTAATTGTTGCTGATGAAGAATGTGATGATGGTAATTTAATATTTGAGGATGGTTGTCATGCATGTTCATAAATATGTCCTAGCACTTGTTAAAAATGTTTAGAGGGATTTTGTCAAAGCTGCCTAGAAGATCAATTTTTATATAAGAATTAATGTTTTAACTTACAAGAAAATCCTAATCTAAAGGAATCCACTAATTTTTAATTTTCAGCTTTAAAAATAACTTAATCCTTTAAAGCTATATCTGTTGAAACTAGTTAAATTCAAATCAAAATCTTTGAGTTTCATTAATAAGTTTATGATCAAGTTGGGTATAAGGTAGAAGTTATAGATGAAAGTTTCTAGTATGTAAGCATTGAAATCAATATCCAATGCTAAAAGAATAAAAAAGTTAGGAGCCAGTTTATTAATTCTAATTATAAGAAAGGAAATCTAAATCGAGAAAAAATAATATTTTATTAATGTCATCAAAGAGTTGATCATTTAATAGTATATTCTTTTAAGTTAAATAAAATAGTGTTGAAAGATGAAATAATTCTAATACAAATTTTTAAAGACGAGTTGAAATTATCTGCTTTATTTGAACAGTCTCCATTAAAGCTGTTATAGATCAGATTTGTTGATGTTTGATGAATTATTATCATTAAAAGCATCTATAATAATAAGTAATAAATTTTCCCCGATTCATATTTATTCATTATATTTAAATGTTTAACAAGGGTTAGAATTAATTAAAATAGTCGTAAGTTCTATCTATTAGTTTTATATAATTATTGATAAGTCAATCCAATAATAAATTTAAATGAGATTGAGAACTTCGAAATTCTGATTCTTCCTTATTCCTTCAATAATCTGAATCAAAATCAATGATTCAAATCTTTCTATTTTAAATAACTCAGACATCAATGGATAGAATTCAAAGGTAATTTATATAAACGATAGTAGAATTTATTAATTTTTACTATTTCATCAATTGAATTTATCATGCAGGGTTATTTAAAATTAAAAGGTTAACTAAAATTTCATTCGTATGTGAAAATAACATTTTAATAAATAGATTCCCACTACATATCTCAACTAGATTTATTATATAGTATAATAGGATAGCTATATAAGTTAAATTTAGTATAATCATTTATATATAATTATGTAATAGATGATATTTTTTCTAAAATAATAATTAATGAGATTTTTTTTATAATCATGATGATATATTTTATGTAATATTAAA